AAATTATATACAGCACTGCCACTGCATTTGTGCGTGCAATTGAAGAGCACATGCTACGAGCACAGTATAATGGCTGACAGGACAGGACAATTTGTTTTATTGACATATGGCCTGACAACATCTCATCTGACCGCAGTTCACTGTTGTTCTACTGAAGCTCCCTCGTCACCTATACCTTTTCAGTGCTCATTTGACTAGAGCCTGGTGCTGAGGTGAAGTTGGAGAGCGCATCTGAAAAGTCTCCTGTTTGATGTGGTCGTAAAGACATTCTGCATATAAATAAACGCAATTCTTGTCAAGAAAAACTAGACAGAAGCAGCAGTTGTGAGTGGGGTGGCCAACCCTAGCTCTGCCCCAGCGTTAATTGCATTGAATATTTTAAATGCGTTAAACTGAAAGAAATAATTGCATACGTTAATTTTAAAAACACTAATTTAAACTCTTTAGGACAGCGCACCTCTAGGACCAGAGTTTTTGGTATCTGAGCACATGCCCAAACCACTTCTCTACAGCAACAATGCCATTTTTTGACTAGAATGTTCTCCTTTTCAAAGCATCTTCTAGGCGCTATTGATGGAGCTGTTGTCAGTGGTGTGTCATTTATTGAGAAGAAATACTAAAATGTGAAAAGATAAGCATGACAGCTGACAGGATGGGAGTGATGTGTATGTGGGAGCTGATGGGTCTTTGTGGCTGCAGGGGGCTCCGGGCTCTGGCCCTGTATGGCAAGATCATAATTGTAATAGAAATGCCATGATGGTTATTGAAATAAGTGTGACAGTTTCGCCAGCCTCCACACTTTTCAGAAACAAGACAACACAAAGGACTTATCAGCCAGTGTCGTGCTAAGACAATGCCGGGCCGCGAGCGAGTCGCACAATCGCAGGAGAGAAAGAAGCACAGAGACAGAGAGAAAAAAGGCAAGAGAGACAGAGACAGAAAAGACAGAGGAAATTAGACAAGAAAGACAAAACACAGAATGAGAGGAGAGGAAGAACACAGGCGAATAAAAAGAACAAGAAAATGGGAATAAAATGAGAGGGAAATGAAGACAAAGCTACAGAGATCATAGATAGACATCATGAAAGCAAATAACACACAGATGCACACATGCACACTAGGGATGTATAAAACGACATATTTTCAGAATCAACTAGCCAGTGTTTTTTTCTGAATGACTAGTTGACTAATTAGGCTAGAAATTTAGTAGTCAGCTACCAACCCACCCTAAATGCACACAAATCAAATTCAATAGTTCTAGCACAAAATAATAAATAAATAAATAAATAAATAAATAAATAATACATAAATTAATGAAAAGGTTGTTTAGATGTTTTCTTTTAAATCAAGACAAAACTAAATTAGATTTTTGTTTCTCAAGTAAATTTATCCTCTTTGGAAGATGTTTATATTGTTTTCTGAAAAGCAAGACAACAATAATGATTATTTTTGCCTCTTAGATTAGCATTTTCTTGTTTTAAGGCTGCTGAGATGTTTTACTGGAAAACCAGACAACAACAACAACAACAATAATAATAATACATTTAATATATAAATAATATAATATATAATATATATTTGCAGTGTATAACATGACCTATAGACATTTTAGAGGTCATATTTCTTATTGTCTTATTTCAAATGTAATTATGCCAAAGTTTAAAGTTACAGTCAGTTAAGTCAACACACCCTAAACGCACACAAATCAAACAAAAATAGATCTAAACCTCTGAATTAAAAACAAATATACAAGCATTAAGCATAAAAGCCCAGGGAGAGAGAGTGTTGCTGCCAGGTCAGGGACTGGTGTATACTAACACAATAATAGGACGGCTCTCAAAGCAGGGGAGGATGGAGCTCGACCAAAAGGGTCCAGCACAATGCGGGCAGCACCTCCAACAACATCTCGCCATGCAAGCCAGCCATTACCACTGGAGAAACCATTAGCTCCCATTAAGAGAGGCCGGCTGGAGCCAGCATTCAGTGTATCGCTGCCTAACAGTGCCATGCAGGGTTGGCTGTAATTAGCCAGACACACTGAGCCCCGTTCCAGCAGGGAGTGTGTATGAGGCCGCTCCATTAGTCCAGACCCTGTATCCGTGTGGCTGACAGTTGCTGGCCAAGACCTTAATGCATGTGTTGGAGGAACAGTAGCTGTTGCCACGGTTTACGGGAATGAATGTGTATACAGAGCTGGCCAAAAATGTGTCTAAGTGTGCTTTGAAATAACAGTGGCCCATGTCCTGCTGTACGATTGTTTGTGTTTTTTTTTTGTTTTGTTCCTCAATTCTGTATTTGTCTTGTTTTTTTATAGAAAAAATATGTACACATCCTTAAAACAAGATAAATTTACTTGAGATGCCAAAATGATATAGTTGTTAAAATGTTTAGATGTGCTTTCCTGAAACACAAGACAAAAAACGATTATTTTTACTTTTTTTAGCAAATGTATTGTCTTTTAAGGTTGTTGAGATGTTTTCTTGGAAAACATGACAAAACAAAAATAGTTATTATTTTTGTTTCTCAAGTAAATGTATCTTTATGAATTTATACAGTGGGGGAAAAAAGTATTTAGTCAGCCACCAATTGTGCAAGTTCTCCCACTTAAAAAGATGAGAGAGGCCTGTAATTTTATGTTTACATGTTTTCCTGAAAAAGCGATGACTTTTGTAATTTCTTCTTCTTTTTAAACATGTTTCAACATTTTCTTTGAAAAACAAGAAAAAAGATAACTTTTGTTACTCAAGTAAACATATTTTTTTAAAGATGTTTAAATATGTTTTCCTGAAAACAAGACAAAATAATAATTATTTAAATAATAATTACTGCTTTTGCTTCACAAGTAAATTTATCCTCTTTTAAGGATGTTTAGATGTTTTCTTGCAAAACAAAACAAAACAAAAGTAATGAATACTTCTGTTATCGTATGTTAAGGATGTTTAAATATTTTTTCCTTGAAAACAAAGCAAAATTACAGATTAAGAAAATGATTATATGCAGTGAAAGACAGTACTAAACCATGACTTGACTTTTGTTGTATTGACAGTTTAGAGGTCAGATTTCTTATTCTGTCTTATTTAATTTCATTCTTATTTTAAAACAATCAAGTCAATGTAGTGTCCTTCAGTGATAAAAATCCCATTTGTATGTGTTGATTGCATCAGAGTCAGCAACCGCAAGGATGGTGTCTCTAAGTTAGATTTAGAGTTGTTGTCTGTCCTCCTTGGTGCTTTGTACTCTCGAGGGGGTTAAAATGAAAGACACTCTCCCAAGAGCCGCAGAGAAACATACTCCACACGTCCTCTGGGACCCGAGACATTCATCCAGCCATGCCGCCCAGAGAGCCATCATTTACAAGAGGTGACTTCCCTCCGAGTCGGTCTGCCTTGCTCTGCCGCAGGAAACACCACAATGTCACACCCCAGACAAGACACAAGACTTGCTTTCAGAAAGTTTATAAAAAAAATACAGCAAAAATCATCTTCTGAACTGGTATTTTTATCTTGTTTCTTAGTAAAAAAAAAAATTCTCAGCATTCATAAAACACTTGAGAAGCAAAACTACACAGGATAATGAAACTTGTTTTCAGAGAAAATATTTTCAATTACTTTTATGTTTCTAGCCCCATGGGCAAAAACCTTTGTAACTTCTGTTAGATTTGTGCACTGAAACAATTCCAATGCCAATGAAGTAAGAACAATATACTTACTTTAAAGAAAACGCTCTTAAAACAAGTCTCACTATCTTATGCATTTTTGCCCCAAGTAAATTTATCTTTTTTAACTGACAAACAAGACAAAAATACAGATTAAGAAAATGATTTTTTGCACTGCAGACTCGGCTGTGGATCATCTAACCGTCCTACATTTTTAACAAGAGTCCAATAATGTCCAGTAAAAAAACTGCAAGGTTAAATAAGGAGAGTTTGATCTTCGTTAACCAATAAGGAATAACGAAGCAACTGAAAATGATCTAATGATCAGCCTCTGAGAGTGCAGGGTATGCTGGAGCAAACCTATGGGGAACTTTCCTAACATGCCAGTCTTTATTGACTTCTCTTAAAAATGTGAATACGTCCAGACTTCATCATGGAGTACAGACAAATAAAAGAGATCAAAATAAAACTCTGAAATGTCAGAGAGGGGCAGAATAAGCCGAAAAAAAGAATCTGACAGCTCGTCAGGCAGCGTGGAAGGGAAATGTCATTAGGCAGTCCAGGGTGGGAAGGGGGCTTTTCATGAACGACACTCTGTCCTCATGACTCCAACTCCCCACTAACATGAAACAGCCAGGATTTAATCAAAGAAGAAGAGCTCAAAAACCCAGACAGTTAGCATGGCGAAGTGTGATGTGACAGGAGCTTTCAGCAGAATAACTGATCTGTTGAATTTTTTACTCAAAATTCAGCCACAATACTCTTCAACAAGCTTTCAGAATCCAAAATCCCATTGGGGATAATGCAATACAATTGCTGTTACATAAGCAGAGAACTGTATTAAATTTTTTTTTATGTTCTTATTGAACTGTGTTACTTTTTTACAAATACATTACACCAAAGTTACTTATGTTACTTTTCTGCAATGTAAAATGTAAAATAATAATAATATTGTTATTATCATTATTATTTAAATAATAAATAATAATTAATATATAATATTCCATAGTAATAATGGAATCATTATTTTCAACATACAAATAAATAAATAAATATTTACCGAATTCAACATGCTTTTCTTTGCAACAAGTTTATTTTCTCAATGTACAATTGGTATGTATATATACAGTATAGTTGCCAATATGTTTTAGGAAGGGGGTCCCTTGTATTTTAAAAGTAACACTCCCCAACACTGACCACAATTGCATTCTAAAAGCAGTCAAAACGACCTGCGATCACTTTGAAGGAAGCTGCAATGCATGAATGGGAAGATGGTAACAGAACTACATGTGATAAACACAGTAAATGGAATGCTAATGACTATTTAAAGGCTCCACAGACTCACCGCAGCGGCCTTGGTGATGCACACGGATGTTCTTCTGAGTGGCGCAGGCTTTCATGTTGAGCTCACATTCACTTTGGTAGTCCAGGCCGTCACTACCGCACACCACGTGCTTGGGGACGTTCTCACAACTCAGAGGACACATGCACTTGGAGGACAGACCATCGGATGACTGGATGCAGGTGCTGCCAAAGCTACAGGACACCTCGCTGCATGGGTCCTTCAGGGCTGAAAATCAAGGAAAAGAGAAAGTGAGTGTCGAAAATGCCTGAATAACATTTGACGCCATCTGAGATGTTGTAAGTGGCTCTTAGAGTGTTGCTATGTAGTTGCTCGCTGGACTTGGTTTTAAGTTTTATACAGTATGCTTGTACCTATTCATGCATCTAGCACACACGGTACAAGGTGAGTTACGTGCCAAAGTTTTAGTAATATTAATACGTTTTATTAATATTAATGTTAGCACTTATTACATGATGTACTCTTGGTCGTGTTTGGATAATTGGCTGGCTGCTTGTCATGTTCACACTATAAAGTCTGTTGAAGGTGAACTCCATGGGTGAACTCCAAACACGAACCCTATTACTGAGATAAGATTGGGTTAAAATGAGGCATGGTCTCCCAGCACCTCCACACGGCTCAGACGTGCCCCGTGTCGATACAGATGGCAGAGTGAAGTGGCTTAACCCGGGTTGAAGAACAGCTCAGTGTCCCAGACTTGAATATACGGTCACAGCTGGGTGGGTGTACAAACAAGTCACTCTAATTCACCACGGACCATTTCAAGCGAGCTTTGCATTCACAAAACATTCTCAATTGCTATGCTTCAGCGTACCCGTACTAATGCTGGAGGGACCTAATCAGCTTTCTTCACTCTGAAAATAAGAAAGCCCTGTTTTTTCTGCAAAAGACTTTGTCTATTTCTTTTTAAACAATCCACCACTCAGGAATGAAGTTGAAGAAATGATTTACACAAAAATGAAATTTCTGTCATCATTTACTTTTTTCGTGCCAAGCCCAACACAAACAGATGCCGCTCTTTGATATAGTGAAAGTGAATTGGAGCTGTCAAGTTTCAAAATGACAAAAAAAAGTGTCTTAAAAGCATCATAAGTGGTCCATATGACTCATGCATTATATATATATATTCCAAGTCCAAATCTATTGAAGCCATATGATAAGTATGTGTGAAAAATGTAATAAGCAAGTCTGATTCATGAACAAATCACACATGTGAATCAGATTTTGCCAGTGAATCAGTGTTATTTTAGGATTATTTATATACTTTATAAACTTATATATTTTAATTAATGATATTTTAAATTATGTTTTATTTTTATATTTTTATTTGTCATGTTAATTTTAGTAATCTTATGTGCTTGTCATATTTATTAATTTTTGTTTTAGTCATTTAAACTTCTACGTAAACTTATTTTATTTTAGTTATTTGGCATTTGTAATTAAATTGTTTTATCTAATATAATTTTTAAATTATAATAATATTTATTGTATTATTTCAGCTTAATTTAAATGAACAAAAAACGATTTCATTAGTTTCAGTTTATAATAACACCGCAACAATTCAGTTGATGCAACTGACAAAAAAATGACAAAAAAAGTGTCTTAAAAGCATCATAAGTGGTCCATATGACTCATGCATTATATATATATATTCCAAGTCCAAATCTATTGAAGCCATATGATAAGTATGTGTGAAAAATGTAATTTTTAAATTATAATAATATTTATTGTATTATTTCAGCTTAATTTATTTTTATATTTTTATTTGTCATGTTAATTTTAGTAATCTTATGTGCTTGTCATATTTATTAATTTTTGTTTTAGTCATTTAAACTTCTACGTAAACTTATTTTATTTTAGTTATTTGGCATTTGTAATTAAATTGTTTTATCTAATATAATTTTTAAATTATAATAATATTTATTGTATTATTTCAGCTTAATTTAAATGAACAAAAAACGATTTCATTAGTTTCAGTTTATAATAACACCGCAACAATTCAGTTGATGCAACTGACAAACCCAATGGATGATTTGTTCACAAAGTGGACTGGTTTGGATCTCAAATCCAGTTTAGGGACAGCAGTTAACACCTCACTAGATGAGAAATACAGTTAACAAGAACTTAAATTTCAGTCTGCTCATCAGAAAGCTATCATAAAATTTGGAATATAGCACACAAAACATGGACAATTTTTGCAATTTTTTTATGGTTCTTTTGTATCCTTTTTGAAGCTTTAAACTTCAGTTACCACTAATTGTAAATGTATATAAAACCATGACCAGTATACTCCTCACATACTCTTTATTTCTTAATTTAACTGGAATGAATACATATCTATTTTTGATACTCAGAGGAACCATCTGGTTATTATCATTATTATTTAGATGATACATATTCATGAGGCATTGACAAACACAGAGATGCTGAAAAGGGAATGGACCGTGTCACTTCAGAGAGGGCTAGTTTAATTTCCTACTGTCCTTAGACACGCCATCGGCTCTAATTCATTCTCACTATCTCCATCCCTGTTTTCACCTCTACCGTGCGTCATATCAGCCTACAGTCTCCTCAATCATTTGTGGGTTTTACTTTGTGTAAATCTGTTAAGAGAACCCATTTGTTTAATTAAAGGTTTGTGTCTGTCTCTAAAGACCACACTCCACAAACACACTCACACGCATGTGATAAACCTGGCAAGAGGCATCGTAAGGATGAGATCAGTGGCGCTTTCGTGTGTTGAGTGATCAAAGTGTTCATTCTTTTTTCCTCCTCTCTCTCTCTTTAAAAAAAAAGATGACTGTGCCTCCCTCATCTTTGCATGACTGAACCTTGCACTTAATCGGCCTGGGCTCTCTAACTAACCAACCACTCGCACTTCCAAAAAACTCATTGCAAATGTTTGTGTGGAGGAAGTGCTAATACACACCCTGATACTGCAGACAACAACCACATACAGGCCGTGTTTTTACACTTTGTAACGATGCTGAAGGAAAGTTGCAAGTTAAATTTAAGACTTATTAGGGCCCCTAGTGGGCCCAGGGCCTTAATAGTTGAGAACAGGGTGTTCGCTAGTGGGGTGAAAGGTGGTGACAATTATAGGGGCCCCCACTGCCCAAGGGGCCCACTAAATCCAGTAGTAATGCTATACATTCCCATACTCTTATATGAATCATTTTAGTATATATATTACAAAGTCAGCTTGTATGCCTGAGAGTTTAATGAAAACCTCAAAAACATGCAATTTAGTAAAAAATGTGTTCCAAATATCTCCTCTCTCCTCTCAATAAAAATGGTTTATTCTGATGGTTATTGATTATTTCAGCTCAGTCAGCTGCAAAAAGGAGAGGGACCCAATAAAATCACAGGTCCCACCCCAGCTAGTGAACAGAACCAATCAGAGTTGAGGCTGCTCCGAGAACAGCTGAAGTTAGAAGTAAAGCGACAGTGGAAGTGAGACTGACTGAAAATGCTGGGGGGGAAATATCTGAGTACCAGTAAAGTCATGAAAAGGAGAGGGAGGCCAGAAGAACTGCTTAATCAGTCAATCAAAACGTTATTTTGCAAGACAAGGGAGGTAGGGATGTCATTGTGATGGGATGCCGTTCACTTGATCATTTCGCTGCCCAAGACATCAAATTGACGTCTCTGTGATGTATGTGTGCTATCAGGGAACCATTGTATGTATGTGTGTATTTTCGGTTTTGTTATTTTTTGAAAACAAAAAACAAAACAAAACATGGCACCAGATGTGGGCCTCCATCCCCATATCTTATACTACTTTGAGTAGAGGGCAGCGGGGGCCCACATCAATATTTTTTTCAGGGGGCCCAGAATTCCCTATAGCTACAGCCCTGGTTGAGAACCTCTGGACTAATGGAACCCAATAAGGGGGAATGGGGTAAAATGGGTCAGTGGGTAAGAAGTGACACCCCCTTACTAAAAAAAACTAAAACAAACTGTGCACAACTTTTGTCATGTGACCATATGTGTAGAAAAAGGAAATCATATACAGCTGACAGCGATTGAGAGATGTACATGAAAAAATTTAACACGCTTTTTAATGCAAAAAAAATACTATTATAAATATAAATGTTCAAAAATTTTTTATAATGTTTAAATAATAATATGTAATAATATTCATTTTATTTGTTATATTTTATTTAAAATAAAATAAAAAATATTTTAAATGAGAAAATAATTTATTTATTGCCACATGATTCATCCCTAACATGTTGCAAATTGCGACCCCTCTCTCGCCTATGCAGAGTATTTTTTCCCTAAAATGATAAACAAGTCTGTTCAGTCTATGACAGCCTTCGAGACGGACTGACGCATTCCGGTACTTTCCTCATCCTTACGGTCATAACTGATGGCAGCTAAGCTCTGAATCATTACTTCTGCTTCAACAGATTGGCCTCATCTCCAAAAGCCTGCCTCTAAGACATCTGATTTCATCAGTCTGATGTAAAGCGGTTCTTTAAATCAGTTCTGATGTGTTTGTCATGAAGTACACATTGAGAAGAGTCCGACATTCCACATAAACCGCTTCCTTCTCAGTGGCGCTCTGTTTGTTTTGTAACAGTACACAGAATTGCCTCTGCAAACCCATTAAATAACAGTCGGCGCTTTTCCACCTATTGTCGCCGAGAGTTGATGAGTGTTGAGGAAAAGAATGAGCTGATTAAAATGCAAAAGGTATAAGGTGTGTACGCGACTCTGCTGTGTTAGCACAGATAAGCTGCCCTCTCAGACAATTAGGCAAATTGCGTGTTAGAATGTGACCGGCGTCGCAAGCTGAGAGGCTACGGACCGCTGGGGTCGCCAGGGAGATGAGCCGTTTACTCCTATGCTTTAGGGCTCTTTTTCAAGGATAGAAATACAGTATCCAGAGGAAAGAGTGGGAGTCTATAGTTACCTATTGATGAACTGGAAATGTCTCTTGCAGCCAATTAACTGCTCTCCTCAAGCTCTGAAGAGGTTAGGACAGGAAGACAGTAAGAAATAATAGGACCTGTACAACTAACTAATAAGCCGGGGAAAAGGCATAAACAGAGTGAGAGGAAGTAGAGACAGCTAGAGAAGCTTCCACTGATCCGCCTCTCCGACAGTGCTGTGATAATGTGTTAGTGCTGGATGTATTAATGCGTAATGCATGCAGGGAGCTGTCAACGGCCGCTACACAATCCTGACGGGATGGGCTCGGC